GTTAGATTTAATAATGATTGAGTATTGCATTCAACATTAGAGTCTACATTTCGTAGGATTTTTTCTTTGATCACATTACTTCGATCAAGAGGATGTAACCCGGTTTTCATAAAGCCTACGAAAGAAGTGTACAATGTGTATACTGGGAATGTGTATACAATTGCTTATGAACTAAACGCTCTGGTACCTTAGAAAAGGCTTGTAAAAGGGTTATAGGACGATAGTTCGATCTTTCTAGTTTAGCTCCACTTTTATACAAAGGGTTAACGATACCATTTTTTCAATGAAAGGGAAAAGTAGAGGTTTGAAACGATTGTACCAATGTGTACCAATGTGCATGTACCAATGTGGTCAAAGGTTGCACAATCGAAGGAATCATATTTTTTAACATACGATTAGTTATTGGAGGTACACGAACGACTAAGATCTAACCTACGTAACAACTTCTCAACATCTGGCAATTCAACTTTAAACTCATGAAGGAAAACGGAGGATGATGGTAAAATATCTGCAATTTTAGGATCAACAAACGGCCCATACCAAGTACAAACTTCAGCAAAAAAGTCATTCAAAATTTCTACTTTCTCTTGTGTCTCAGTAATAATTACATTGTTATTATTATTCAACGCTGGAATGGTAGTGTATCTCATTTTACCCATTTAATGCTTAACCAAACTTCACCAATTTTTAGAAGATGCACATACTTTTGCGTTTATTCTTTTGTAGCACTGTTCTTTAGTAGCTATACATTCCTCTTGAAACTTTTTTGCTATTTCTTTATACAAATTCAAATGAAAGTCTGATTGTTTACTTTTACGATATAATCGACACTTTCTTTTATATAGCACGCGCAACTTATCATTAAACCAAATTTTATCACGCGGTTCAATAGTTATCACTTTATGAGGCACATATTTCTTAATGTGTTCTAAAAATATTTCTTCGAACGCTTGCATTCTTTCACTAACATTATTATAATTTTTTAGAATTTGATCTACAGGAATCTCGTTAAAGCGTGCATGTACCATTTCCCAATTTACCGGACTATAATTATAAACAGTACGAATAACTTTATTTTACGAATGATATTCAAATTTAGATTAGATTCTATAAAACTATGATCGCTGTTACTTAAAGGTGGTTCAATAACTACAAGTAGCGTTCATCATTCTGATTCACTTATCCCTTGACTGGAAAGGAATCACCAATAGGAAATTATTTCTATAGAATATTATAATTATCTTTCTCGTCCACAATACTGCTCCACAATTGAGGGCTGCGCGATTACGATTACAAAATGTAAAGTTCAAACATTGCTGCTATTCCTAGAATTTTACAATTCTGAACTTTACATGTTCGGTGAACTTAGAATTCTTACATACATTGTAAAGTTGCACACGCACACTCACCCTACACTCACTCCACTTGCTCACGTAATTACTACCCGGAAGTTCTAATCTGTCCTGAATCACACATATATACTGCAATCGAATTTACCAATTTTCGGACAGTTTAACTCGATAAGACTATTTCCTTTACAGTAAAGGGAATACCATTTCAAACCCATCAAGTCGAGCCAAGTAACGCTCGCTAGCCCGCTCACTCTCCACCGACGGCTCAGGTGGTTCCGCTGGTGGTCTAGTTTTCATTTTACTATCGGTCATAAGTAATGTAACACTTTTTCACACTGTTGATCACTCCCTACTTATATACACAAGGGGACTACAGCAACTTATATTTGCGCATGACCTTCAATGACTTTGAATCACAAACAACGCTCACACCTCCCTTCGGTCGGTGTTCGGGTCGAAAGGACTATTCACAATATGCGTGTATGTATATCCTTCACACCATGTTCAAATGTCTGTGTATGCCAATAGAATCGATCCTAGAGGTCGCTCACACTCATTTTCTGATTCCCCATAGTGAACTACCTATTCTATATCGTTTCCACCCAATGAAGTTAAAATGAAGTTTTCCGCCAATAGAATCGTAGAGGTCGCTCATACTCATTTTCTTATTCCCCATAGTTCTATACCTATTCCATATCATTTTCATCCAATCACGTCTCTGCTACTAAACAGTTGTGTGTCGCTAGTATCTAGTCTACAGGAACTTATATCTACGCATGACCTTCAATGACTTTGAATCACAAACAACGCTCACACCTCCCTTCGGTCGGTGTTCGCTAAAGGACTATTCACAATATGCGTGTATGTATATCCTTCACACCATGTTCAAATGTCTGTGTATGCCAATAGAATCGATCCTAGAGGTCGTTCACACTCATTTTCTGATTCCCATAGTGAACTACCTACTCGATATCATTTTCATTCATTAATGTGGAAATGATGTTTTCGACCAATAGGAATCACCGTAGAGGTCGCTCATACTCATTTTCTGATTCCCCATAGTCGACTACCTACTCCATATCATTATCAGCCAATCAACTTTTGCTGGACTAGTTTGTCTGTCGCTAGTATCTAGTCTGCGGACATACAAACAAACATACATACAGGCATTTTAACTCGATAAGACCCTTTCCTTTACAGTCAAGGGAACATTTTTTAAGAACAATGAATTCATAGTTATAACTAAATCTACACAAGTCTTAGATGTAAAACGAGTGACTCCAGAAACAAGTTGAGATAAGTTCATAGATCCAAGAAATACGTCTAGCAAGATTCCTTCTTTTGTTGATGGACCATCACTTTTCGCCCAAGGTTGAAAATGTGCATTGAAGTCTCTTATGCAGAGCAGTATATCGTCTTTGTACTTAGATTTGCCAAACTCATCTAAAATAGTACTTAAACGAGTAAGGAGACGTTGCATAGTAGTTGTTTTAGGACGATAAATATTTAAGATTGTTACATGTTGTTGATTCATTAATGTTAAACGAATCGCATGAATTTCAAACATAGCCTCTTCAAATTCTACAAGTCTAACTGAGCAAACGTCTGTCTGAACATAAATTGCGCAACCTCCTCCATGACGGTTACGATCGAGACGCCAAGGAACATGATATTCAAAAAAACTTATATCATTATCAGCGACAGTGTTATCCAACCACGTTTCAGTGAGACAAAGCACTGCTGGTCTGATCACGGATCAATAAGCGCTAACAGCATCCTTTTGAGGTACTAGACTTCTTATGTTCATTGATGAAATTTTTATACTAGCAGACGCATTACTCGAATTTCTAACTATGGCGGAAAGCAACTCCTAACCGCACCTCCATCATAACACAGTAATATATCGCCAGAACACAAAGCAAAAGCAGAGCAAAATAAAGTAAATGAAAAAAGTTGTACTAGCCTGTCCATAAGTAAGGAATGTGAATCACAGTTATTCATCCATTTCCATTAGACCATCAATATCTGGCACCGACGATAGTAAGCAAACGATAGTTTCCTTTAGACAAATAATAGTAAACATTACCATTACGTGTGAATACTTGTTGTTTATTTAGATTTTGTTTAGCGTATTGAAAAATATGATTGTTCAATGGTGTTAAATGTCCATTAATAAATACATCCTTATATCGTTCGATTTGTCTTAATTTTTTCCGTGCATCATAAAAATTATTTCTGCCAGTAAAACGTAGAAAACTAATAATAATAGCTTGTCGCGATTTATCTTTACCTCGCTTAGATAATGGCAAACGATGAATAGCATAAAAATCATTTTTGTTCAATTGCAATTCAACACTAGCAGCTAATTCTAATACTACATCATACGTATTTTCATTTTGTTTAAATGGTATACCATATAGTATAAGATCTTTTCTTTTATTATACTGTGCTAAGTCATTCGTTTGTCATTGTAACAGTAATGTTATCATTCACTTGCTTTAATTCAGATTTCAAATCTTCACCTTGATAATGATACTTATTTACAGCTTCTTCAACTACCGTAGCAATAAAGTTAGTAAACAAATCCGAGGTTAGTAATGAATTACACATTTGCTGAACAAAAGATGGAGACGAAAAGATTTCTTTAACCATTTGAGTTAACGCTAAGCTTTCGGCATTAGTTGACATTGCGGTTGTAGTTAATTTTTTACTAGATGTTTGTGATGGTGACGGCGACTACGCTGATGACCAGATTGCATAAAATCAGTTGTTTACTCTGTAACTGTAAACACATTACCAGATAACACACTCAAGCCAAAACACGTCTAATCGCCATGAAAAAATAACTGAGAAATTCTGAATTGAAGCGTTTTGTGGGGTGCCAGAACAGTGAAACCCGACCTGTTGTTCAGTGGCTCTTGTTGTTGTTGACTTTGATGTTTCTTCACCCTTCTCATTTCTTTCTTCATCATTTTATTTTGATTTTTTCGTCACATATAAATTATTATTTCCTAAACCTGATTGTTCAGGTGTTCGTGTCGTTTGTGACTGCGATTGCTGCTGTTGAGAAGATGAGAGATCAGAAGCGTCTCTCTGTCTTTTGTTAGACGCGAAAAACTGTGTTAAACAAAATTGTTTACTCATCTAAATTCGCATGGGAATGTTACTGATCAGTAGTATCTGTCTTATACCGTATAAGAAAGACAACTAAAACACTTAAAATAGAGAAGACTTTCCCGCAGGAGTTGTCCATTCAGGAAGCTATTACCTAGGCATAAGGCTCTGGCGAAGAAAGTCCATGACGTTCGTACTGTTGAAAAAGTATAACTTATGCTTTTTTCAACAAAAACGTGTTTTGTATGAATAAACTCCTTTCTTGCAAGTGTGACCGTTTTGTTAAATCCCAATATTTTTTCTTCTTCTTACTCTTTGACATATTCTTGTTTTAAAGTGCGCATAATGCTTGAAAGTTACTGTCCATATCAAGATTTGGCGCTTTTTTTCCAAGAGGGTTGCCAACACGAAACCTGCGGAAGCTTGTTCGCCATGGTCGATTTAGTGGTTCGACATATTTATCTCAAAAGGATCACTTCGATTTTTGAAAAAAAAAGGATTTTGTAAAAGACCAAAAAGATCCGTGTCGGATTCGAACCGACAACAAAAAATTTCATTTTCTTTGCACTTAACCACTGTGCTACGGATCCATACCTATTCTTTCTTGTTATATCAAGTATTTTGGATTCTAAGATGCGGATACACGACAGATGAGCCTACCGACACTTGAGCTCTTGACATTTCAGCCCCCGATATTTAAGCCTCCCGATATGTGAGACTTCGACTTTTGAGCCTGTCGCAGACAGGCATTATATGACTGAGTCCGATACTATTAACGAACAGGCTAATTGATTGATTGATTAAAATTTTATTTAATAACTTATTTTTTAATAATGAGTTGATTAAAATTGATCTTGGCTTCCTAACCAGTTGTAAATATATATATATATATGCAGAGTAAGGAACACACATCATGCTAAAAAATGAAGCATTATTAGATGTTCATAAAGATGATGGAGCAGCTATACCCAGTTATACAGCATCACAACGTACTATTGAACGCAAACGTAAAAAAGATGACATACCATTACCAAGACCAACATCATTCGAAGATATAAGTATTCCACAGCAATTAACAGTAACCAATGGTGGTGGTCGGTTTTTATTATATGATAATGAAGACAGTGACTACAGAACAATTATATTATCATCTGAGCAAATAGGCAAACAACTACAACATTTAATTACCGCTTTTAACATAAACACAAGAAAGGAGTATTTTAAAAGAGCAAGAGCTTTGTTTAATTTTTGAAATTAAAAAATTAAAAGTCATATAATGCCTATCTGCGACAGGCTCAAATGTCGGAGGCTCACGTATCGGGAGGCTTAAATATCGGGGGCTGAAATGTCAAGAGCTCAAGTGTCGGTAGACTCATTTGTCGGGGCTCAAATATCATAGGCTCAACTGTCGTGTCACCTAAGATGCGCTACGGCCTGAAACTGAAGTCCATGCGATTCAGCATTTGAACACTTCTGTCCGAGATTCGATTAGTGGATTTGTAGACGTGTATATTATTCACTCACAATTTTCTCACTCGTTTATCGATGGAAATTAAATTTTCTTTGTTTGTCCGCCAGACGTGTTTAAGTCAGTCTTAAACGAAGACGAATAGCGTTGGACACAACAGACTCATTCGCTTTATCTTTCTTAATCTCTTCCTTACCTTATAATTAGCGAATACTAATAGTGTGAATCTAATGTCCAAAAAGAGAAGAAATAAGAATTTTTCTTAAAGCCTACATTATGTGTTCAAATGATTTTGATTCTTGAAAAAATTTATTAGGTTACTCTGAAATACTTTACAAATAAGAAAAAAATCAAAAATTAACAAATTGAAAAAAATCTTGTTTTCCAAAATCACGCAACTATAAATCGTTTTTGAACACTAATAACCCCATAATTCGGCAAATTGTGGATAGGCAATTTTAAATGTTTTTCTAAGATCTTCTATCATTTCTATTTTATTAGCCGAATTACTTCCTCTTAAAATTTCATCACGAGCTTTTTTATATATGTATGTTTGTTTGTATGTATGTTTGTTTGTATGTCCGCAGACTAGATACTAGCGACAGACAAACTAGTACAGCAAAAGTTGATTGGCTGATAATGATATGGAGTAGGTAGTCGACTATGGGGAATCAGAAAATGAGTATGAG